GTGTGTGAGTGTGAGTGTGTGTGTGTGAATGTGTGAGTGTGAGTGTGTGTGTGTGTCTGTGTGTGTGTGAGTGTGTATGTGAGTGTGTGTGTGAGTGTGTGTGTGTGTGAGTGTGTGTGTGAGCGTGTGTGTCTGTGTGAGTGTGTGTGTGTGAGTGTGTGTGTGTGAGCGTGTGTGTCTGTGTGAGTGTGTGTGTGTGTGAGTGTGTGTGTGTGAGCGTGTGTGTCTGTGTGAGTGTGTGTGTGTGAGTGTGTGTGTGTGAGCGTGTGTGTCTGTGTGAGTGTGTGTGTGTGAGTGTGTGTGTGAGTGTGTGTGTCTGTGTGTGTGTGTGAGAGCGTGTGTGTGAGTGTGTGTGTGTGTGTCTCCCTCAAACAGGACACTGCTTTGAACACTGGGCTTCGGACATCATGGCCCTGAGGTTCTTCCACGTGGTTCAGGTGTCCGAGCTGTGTCCTCCATGCAACACACGCACCTTCACCATGTGCGCTCCTTCAGAACACGCCTGTAAGCTCCACTTTTCAGGGCCTGCAGCAGGCGTAAGGTCGCCCGCCCGGGCGAGGCTGGCACCCCGGGGCCTCTGTCCATCTGACGCTGGCTTTCGTTTCCCTCTGATCACTAAGGGGGCTGAGCACCCCTCCAGATGCCTGCTGGCGCTTCCTGCTCGGTGAGGGCCTTCCTCGTGGTGCCCTGGACTCTGTTGGCTCTGAGCGGGAGTCCTTCATGTACCCTGGGACCCGGCCTTCCTCCCAGAATTCGGCACCCTTCGTTACCGCGCGTGGGCCTTGTGTGTCTCCCAGCTGTACCTCGGCTGTTAGGTCTGCATCTTCGCGGGGTGGGTGGCTGAGAAGCCGGGCTCCAGTGCCTGTGTCACAGTGTTGCTGCGCCCGAGTCCAGGCCCACGATCGGCACACGTGGGGATGCTCAGGCCACCGGGTTGGGGTGGCTCCCTGTCTTATCGGGACAGCTGTGTACCATTACAGGGCAGTCCCCTCACCTGTCCTTCCCTGGCCCTGCTTACCACCTCCACCTGCTGGGTCTGCAGGGCATCTGCTCGGCTGTCACCTCACCTGGTGAGGACTGCCTTCACGAGCTCAGTAAGACTTCAGTTTTCTGCAGAATACTCTGGCATACCTTTGTTACATTCATGCCCAGGAACTTTAAATGTTCATTTCCATAAAACGATATCTGTGTTTAAGTTACATTTTTACACTTTTCTGTTGGCACAAGCAACTGTTTTACATTGATTTTCACACCCAGCAGCCTTGGCTCTGTTCTGGATAATCTAGTCATGTAAGTAGAAATCTATCTCTTCTGCAGACAATGGAGGCCAGTTGTTCCTCTCTGACCTGTGTGTGTGTGTGTGTGTGTGTGCGCGCGCGCGCGCGCGCGCGTTTTTCATGCCTTCTTGGCCTGATTAAGCCTTCATATCCTTTTCCTGGTCTTAACAAAAGTGGTTCAGCATCACACCCAAAGCAGGAGGCGTGTTTTTGAGGACTCTGATCAGGTCCTCATTTTTATGAGATTGTCCGTTTTGGTGTTGCCGTATGAATAACATCTCTCTTAGAGGTACATAAAGTAAAGGCAACCTCGCCAGCAACAGCAGCACAGATTTGATGAAATACGTATTACGTTTCTGTGAATTTTTAAGAAGTGTTGTGATAGAGACATTAAAAATATTATCAATAAACCCGTCCACTGCAATCAATGAAAAAGTTAAATAAAGACAATTCTTTTCTTCAGAAGAATACATAAAATTCTTAAACTTTGCCAAACTCAAGAGCTATGACACACACGTACACGTGTCCATCCCACAGCAGCTCACGGACGCCAACCATGCGCCCCCGAGGCAGACGGGGCAGAAACCCGCCCAGGGGGAAACCGGCAGGGGTTGGGACCTGTGTGGCTCTCCAGTGACTCACGTCTATCGCTGATGGGTTCAGGACAAGTTTGCAACCAAACCAGATTAAACACGTGGTGGTAACAGCAAATGTGGAAATAAACAACATCTGAAAGTTGGGAATCTGAAAAACAAGACAGGAGAGGTTTTGTGTGACTAGGAGAGGAAAGGTAACATCAAACCAAATTCCAGGTCATTAAATTAAAGCCCCTAAGACTGAGACACTTAAGAATGACCTGGGGTGGGTGGCCCGCGAGCTCGGAGCAGAGGGTGGAGGGGGCACAGAGCCCTGCGGTGCGCTGTGTGTGCGTCCCACCATGCACGAGCACACACGCATGCACACGCACGTGCCTATCAGCCCCACAGGCAGCCTGGGGCCTCCACAGGCCGGGAGCCGGGCAGCGGCCCCCAGCTACAGGCTGGACAGAAGGCTGGACTCACCACGTTGACGTTTCTCCTTGAAACCGTGAAGCTCACGATCGCCGAGGGAATGCACTAGAAAGAGACCAGAGCTCGGTGAGCCGCAGTCCGTCCCTTGCGCTTGCAAGCAGGCGGCAGCTGTGTCCTGAAAACAGTGGCCTGTAAAGCTTAAGCTTTGGGACGACCCAGTACATGTCGGCAAAACAAGTGCTGCCGGTCCCCTGGATGCAGGGGCTTCTCGGGACGTTGCCAGGTCCCCGGGTCTTTCAGAGTCAATTTTCTGATGAGATGAAAAAGGTCTTGGATAATGAACACTGCGGTGGCTCAGATACACTCGGACGCCAGAACACACCCTCCTGCCGCACAAGACCAGCCTTCGGCCCAGCTTACAAACGACCCAGAAAGGGAAACGCATCCCGGTGGGAAGGAAGTGCCAATACTTGGGAGGCCAAAGCCCCGGGGGGTGGTCGTTGGGGACCCCGCATGACCTGTGTCTCCGGCCTGGCAACTCTGAGAGTGAAGGACACTGCCCAGGGTTTTGCTGGGACACCAGGCTACGAGAGCATTGTCCTGGAGCCATCTGGGGCAGAGGTCAGGTCACTAAGGCCCCAACAAGGACTGCTCCAGTGGTGATGACAAAGGGCCACCTAGAAGGTTCCAGAGAGATTGGCGGGGGGAGGGGGGGAGGTTTGAGTTGTTTCAAGGAGTTTTGTTCTAAGACAGCAGAGGGGGCAACACGGGGTCGGGGTACGGTGTGAAGGAAGCGTGGGTCTGTGTTTTCAGACATTCAGGGATGCTGACCGGGCTGGAGCAGGAGAATATGGGGGCCAGAGGCCCCACGACGTGCCCTGTGAGTCCAGCGCAGGGCACAAGCTCTGGGAGGGGTGGGGTACAGCCCCCAAACGAGCTGTGTGTCAGAAAGCAAAGAGCCATTTCTAGCCCAGGAGTCTGTGGAGTGACTCAGACTTGCTTCACCAGCTGTTTTCAAAATTAATAAAGCCTGTTTGAAACCAAAGCCATATGAGGAGGTTTTGAATGAGGAGTGAGTGACAGCAACGGGTAAATCTCAGAACAAAAAAGTCAAGTGCACAACCGCGAACCTCGGGAGTGGGAGACACAACGAAGGAGCTGCTCACCGAGCCTGCAGCACAGCGCAGGTAGTCCATGTCGGAAGGGAACACGTTTCCCAGGTAGAGGGAGAACCCCGATGTCACAAGCAGGCAGGTCTGTAACACAGCAGCACGACTCAGGCGACAGCTCGGCCTCTGATGACCACAGTGCACGGCCAGCCCTCTGGCTCCACTAAGTGTCCCCGCAGTGCGAAGCGCCTGGGTCCTGCCCGACTCCTCCCTGAGGGACCAAGCACGGCCAGCCCACTCTCTCCCCGCTCCCATTCAGACTGTGGGCTTCAACGTTTACTTGGGGAAGAAAAGGAGGGGTCCTGACAAAATTTAAAGCAAGAATCGGTGCCTCTCCCCAGAAAACTCCCTCTCCCCACATGTGCAATTTCAGGGTGTTGGGACCCCCCACTCCAGGTACAGGCACAGCTCCTGGAACAACCCCATCTGCTCAAGGCCAGGGACATGGAAACTCACTGCAGGGGTCGGGGTTGGTGGGAAAGGTTCCTCGGATCCAGGGTCAGGGCAGGGGCCCTTGCGCGCCCCACTGTGATGGGGCGGAGGAGACCGCGGCCATGCCTACGTGAGGAGGGGACAGCAGGACCAGGCACTGTGGCCGCTGCAGCTGGGGTGCTGTACAGAACCCAGGGTCCCAGGGGCAGGAGTGAGGAGGGTCTTCCGCCGTGTCCCACATGGGTGGGGCTTCCAGTCTCAGTGGGCCTGGGAACAGCTGGGGGAAGGGCTGCCTGGAGAGTGTGGGGACCGTGGGGGTCCTGGCCTGGATCCTGGTCCTCAGCCAGGGGTTCCCAGGTAACCATGTACACTGAGGCCAGTATAACTCCTTCAGTTGTCAAGTGCCTATGCAAGCACGTCAGAAGGTAAATGTCCCAGGACCCCAGGCCTGAACCCCGCTGGCCCTGGCCTCCTGCCTCGGGACACCGCCCACTGCTTACTCTGCCAGAAGCTCCCAGAACACAGCCCCTCCTCCCACTTCTGCATGGTGACTCCGACCCACTAGGAGTTGCAGGTCCTGGAGGCCACCCCGGCACAATGCATGATCCTGCAGATGGTCAGCATGGGCCCTGGGCTGTGCCAATGCCCAGAGGCCATGGGGCTGGCGCCGTAGACACTCAAGAATGGAAGAACATGATTCAGAAAGTCAGCAGTCAGCACTGGCGGGCTCTCGGGAGCAGGAGTAACCGCAGCTGCTCCGTCCTGTCACCTGGGAGCACCACCGGCCGGGGACACCTCACAGGGGACGATGCCTCCATGGTCCTGGTGCATCTACTCACCCCCATCAACACAGAGAAGATCCACATCTTGTGACTGAAGCAAGGAGGCAGCCTCGAGGACAACTGCAGGTCACCGGGCTTGGCGTCTGGGGCGTAGCTCCCTGCGTCCGACCTTCCGCGCTCCAGGGTAGGCATCCGGTCATAGCTGAGCTCTTCCCTGCACTGCTCCTCCCGTGTCATGGCGCTGGGGACAGACATGACGTTAGTGACACAAGACAGCGATGCCTGCAGTTCTCCATCACCTCTGCTGCCACTTATTTGCAATAAAATTAAGTTTACTTTTGATCACTCTGAAAAAAACTCCAATTGAAATAAACTGTTTTCAATAAAAGAAAGAGTGTTCCTACCGAAGTGCTGTGAATTTAAAGGAGAGAATAAGCGCTTAATAGGACAAGTGAATGAAGTCACTTTCCCATAAAACAAACCCGAGCGGTCTGGATTCAGGGCAGCTGCAAGGCGCCAGGTGCCTCACGGAGCGGGTCCTCGGGTCCGTCCCAGCTCTGAGGCCCAGGCTGTGCTGGCTTCTCAAAGCCCATTACATTGCTCACGGTGGTAACTGAACACGAGGTGGCAAAATACACACCCACGTACGGTCTGCCTTCTGCGTGTCCCTCCGGTTGCTTCTGGTGGTGGCAGCGCTGGTCTCTGGGTGAGGGGCTCACTGCTGCCGAGTCATCCTGCCTTGGACTTCCAGCAAGAGCTATTCAGAGGAACAAAAGCCCAGTAAATCTGCACTTAAGCCAGGAGGAGAGCCGGTCCTGAATTTCAATGAGATGAAGCCAGTGATCCTGGAAAGTTCTGTGGTGGTTGTATAACCGCTGGCTCAGAGTGTTGCTTGGTCCTGTCTTAACTCCGCCAGGACACGAAGGGGCCACCTCAGTCCCACTCATGTCAGACAGGTCGCGGGCGCCAGGGTGGGCATCTCAGAAGTATGCCTGAGAGTGGCTCCACTGAGCACAGAACTCCGGCAGGCGGAGGGCCAGGTGCTGTCTTGGAAACAGAACTTTTTACTCAAAGGCCTTATTATACCTCCTTTCGAGCAGCCTTTTTCCATCCCGTGATCACGAGGAGGACCTTCACAACGGCATCTACACGCGTGTGTGCTCAGCAGGGCTGGCTGGCTGGCGGGATGCTGGCCCAGCCCCCGGGCTCCCGCTGGGCCCTTCTGCTCACTAACCAGAGGAGGGGGCGGGAATGTCCTTCACCAGACACTGCCTGAGAGTTACAGCGACAAGTCTGTGCACACAGGAACCACAACATGGCTGGAGCCAAAGCGTTCTGAAAAACCAGCTTCTCAAACACAAACCACGTGACGTTTGAGCTAAGACCTTGGTTTTGAATCACAGGGTGTTCTGTTGTCTTAGTTTTCCAACCAAGCAAGGATTCGAGTTAATGGTCACAAATGTAACTTTGAAGTCAAGAAGGCAGTGTGAATGGATCGAAAAACCTCCCAAATGTCTTTCTCGTATATCTTTTAAAGCAATGAACAGAATTAGTAGGGATTGGTCCAAATGGATTGAACCCTTGTGCATTTCTTGTTATTTGAAGAAAACACAGAGATGTCACCGTTTCTGTGCCTTTCTCAGTTGTTCTCCACTAAGAAATACAAACAAGCTGCCTTGAATTAGATACTGTGGACCCCGTTCCTCAGCCCTCTAGAGTCACAATCATGAGGAAGTGCTTCCATGTTTCTGTAGGCAATACTAGTTTCTAGCTCTTTCCACAAGGCCAGCTTTAGACCAATACCAAAACAGGACCAAAAAAGGAGAGAAAATTGCAGACCAGCGTCCCCCAGGAGCAACCATCCCAACCAAACCAGATGTGACTAAGCCAAACCAAGCACTGTGCAAAAAGGATGATAAACCACGACCCAATGAGTTTTCCCAGGAAAGCCGGGGTGGTTTAATGTTTGAAAACTTGTTAATGTTATTCACTCTTATTAACAGGCTAAAAGAGAAAAAAGACAGGACGCGTCTGCAGGCGCAGAAAAAACATTTGAGAAAAACCCACACCGGTGCTGGGAGCTCGGGAAATATAGGGTGTGGTAAAGAACTTCCGCGGAAGCCACACTTCACAGCACCCTGAGCGACCAAAGACGAGTCCTCTTGCCAGCAACACCAAGGAGGCCCACCTGCGCGAGGCTCCGCCCACCCGCGCGAGGCTCCGCCCACCCACGCAAGCCACGTGCTCCAGGCACGATGCTCTCCCACAGGGCACCTCGCCTCTCCCGCTTGTGTGCTAACAGTTGCCAACCGCCAACCACTGGCTGCTAATGGGGGAAGCACGCATGGAGACCCCCCCATTGGCCAATAGCGAAGGGACAGGAGCGCAGGCGCGGGTGCAGTTTCCCGCCTCCGCGCCCCCGCGCCCAACTCACATATATTGACCAAGCTCCACTGGGCGCAGGCGCAGTCGCAGCGATCCCATTGGCCAAGCACGAAGGGGCTCCAGCGCAGGCGCGGCCGAGGTCAGCCCATTGGCCGAGGGCAGCGGGAGCGGCCACGTGCGGAAGCCTGAGAGCTGCGCGGGGCAAGGTGGCAGCGGAGCCATGTTGCGTCTCGCGGCGAAGCTGATGGCCTTCTTTTGGAGGCGAGCGGACGGCCCCGAGGAGATGGCTGGGCTGCAGGGGCTCGAGCTTCTGGAAGGTGCCTCGTGGGGCAGGGCCGGGGCGCGGTGGGGCCGCGGCGGGCGGGCCGGCGCTGGGGTGCTCACGGCGTACCTGCGCGGCCCCTCCCCGGCACTGGGAACCGCACGGTAGCGCGCCCCAGATCCCCCCTCCCGTGTGCGAGCTGCATTCAGGTCAGGGGCTCCCTAGTCGCCTTCTCTAACCTCTGAAGAGGTGGGATTCTCCCCAAGAGGCGGAGTTGCGGAGAGCCGTCCGCGTGCGGACTTGCTAAGGCCTGTGGATCTGGGCCACCCGGGAAACGCCGGCTCCGGCTCCAGGAGGCCGCCGGCGCTGTGTGTACCGTGACATGCGTTCCTCAGGTGTCTCCTGTGTCTGAGAAGCAGCAGACCAGGTGCAGGGCGGGCTGGAGAACAGCGGCAGCCGCAGGGCTTCTGGGCCCCTAGCGGGAAAGGTCACCGAAGGTCGCCCCCGGGCCAGACTCACTCCCCAAGCCCGGACTCTCTTGTGTTGCCTGGTTTGTCGAGATGATACAGCGTCTCCCCACGCTGCTGCTCGTGTTATTGGTGAAGGGAGATTGTAAGTCATAACAAGGTGTCAGAACAGCCCCCGGACGCTGATACAACGCTGACGACAATTTGCACGGCACTCTAACCACGCAGGTCTATGCGTTGCTGTTTCAGCCCCTCCAGCAGCTCTTGGGTAGAGACCGGGACTGGCTCTGTTTTACAGATGGAACAGGCCCAGAGCGTTAAGGACCGGGTCCGGGGTTACACACTGGCAGTAGAAGAGCTGGGCTTCAGACCCCAGTGTTCTGGCCCTGGAGTCCGAGTCCCCCCATAGAGCCACCCCGTACCCCTCAGGAGCCTGGGCAGTCTACCTCACACACCCCCGCTCCTCGGGAGGGCCCTGGAGCCCCAGGCTGCTCCGGTACCACCTTTCTCTGGCGGGGCTTAAGTGTAATGTGGGCTTGCCTTTGTGGTCGGTATAACTCTGTTTACCCACCTCAGGTGACACCAAGTTGAAAACGGTGCATGGTGTGGTGACAAGGTACTGCAGTGATTATGGCATGATTGATGACTTGATCTACTTCTCCAATGAGGTGGTGAGCAGCAGAGTGCTTCTGAATGTCGGACAGGAAGTTATTGCCATAGTGGAAGAAAATAAAGTGTCCAACGGACTGAAAGCAATCCGGGTAAGGCCCGAGTGGGTTTGGGAAGCCTCTCTTCACCGTGGGACTTCACGTTACTACTGTCCTCCAGTCTCGTTAACCTCTCAAGAGACAACCTGGCTAAGGGAGAGAGCGGGTGTACCTGCATGGGGTGCATTTGTTCTTGGTGATTTCTGTCTTAAAAAATCAGGGATGGTCATTGTAAATCTTTCAAACTACGTAAAAATGTATAATTCATAAGTTTACATATAGTTTTATGCCATGAAGAAAAAGACTTAACATTTCTATGTCTAGTTTTTCTAATCTTTGAAAAATAGTGTTAAAAAACATGGTTAAAAAATATTGTTCCACTCTTTGTTATCCAATTAACAAAGATAATTAGTAGGCTCTATTATTAAGCTACTTGTTTCACTTAGAAGTAGTATTTTTGTACTATAAATCCTTGGAAACAGAATTGCTAGTCAAAGGTTATTCACATTTACCATTTGAGTTGTCCTGCAGTCCTCCTGTGCTAATTCACACTCGCCGGACAGGGCGAGAGGCTGCCTTTCCCAGTGTTGGCAGGAATGTGGTGTCATCCCTCTCTGGAACCTTTGCAGTCTAATTAGTGAACAGTGATCGCTTAACTTTAATTTGCACTTACGTTTTAAAGTAGATTAATTTTTCTATGAATTTTCTTTGTGTCCTTAGTCCATATTTTTTAGGGGGGGGTTCAACTTTTTAAATTAAAATTCTACATTAGGGAAATTAGCTTTTTATGTGAAAGTGTTGCAAGTATTTCTCCCAAGTCATCTTTTTTTTAACAAAGTTTTATGTAGTTAAATGTGCCTGTCTTTTTCTAGTAGCTTTTGGGCTCTGTAAAACCCTTAAAGGCTCGTTCCACTATTACAAATATACACTCAGGTTTTCCTTTGAACATTTAAATCTGCCTGAAATTTACATGGTCTACAGACTGAACAAAGGAACCAGCGTTCCTTCCCAGTAGCTACCAGCCATCCCCCAGAATGATCACTTTTCTCCGATGGTTGGAAAGGTCCCTTTCTCATACACCAGAACCCTGCATGTGAGGGACCCTGTCTGGACCCTGCTGGCTCTGATGCCTGTGTGGCCCCCATGTATTGGTCCTGCCCATGGGTGGTAGGCAGCTTTCCCTTGTCCTCCCAGTGTTAGGAGTTCCCCCAGCTCTCCTCGTCGGGATGGACGTTACAGCTATTCTGTTGTTTGTCCCCCTCAGCTCAGATTCGGTGTGGACAGCACTGCGTTTGTGGGTCCTTTAGGCCAAGTGACCTGTGGATCCCATCACGGCTTCTCCATCCACAAATCCTGCCTGTCCATTAAAGTCGTCTTTGTTCTTATCACTGTTGGGTAGTTTTCTTCATTTAGGTTCCTCAAATCCCTTGTTGAATTTGTTTCCAAGAATTTTGATGTTTATGTTTCATTATGAGTATAATTTGACTTTGTATTTTCAAGTTAATCTTTTTCTTCCTGTATAGGAAAGCTATTTATTTTTGTTACATAATTTGGTACCTGGCAAACTTACCTCAACTACTTTTTTTAAATGGTCAAGATGCACCTTATTACTATTTTAGGTAGTAAATGCCATCTTGATGCTTAATATCATCTTTCTCAAGCTTTAAAAATAATACAGGTAAGGGCTGGCCGAGTGGCTCAGTTGGTTAAGAGCTCACTCAAGAGTGTGAGCTCTGAGCAGCAGGGTTGCTGGTTTGATTCCCGGCCCGAGCTGAGCTGCCACTGAGATGCCAACAAGTGGCAGGATGGTTCAGCTAAAAAAAAGAATAATAATAATACCGGTAAAAATCAAATTTTAAAATTGTGTTCAGTACATTAGTTATTAGCCATGTGGGGCTATTTCACGTTATTAAAAGTAAATAAAATTTAAAATGAATCCCTCAGTTTCACTAAGCACATTTCAAGAGCTACATGTAGCTGGTGGCTTCCAAATTGGCCGGCACAAACGTTGGACATTTCTGTCATCACAGAAAGCATTAGCTCGCTCCAGCGTGGAAAACTGCACAGTGAGAAGCAGGCTGTTTGCATGCTCTCTGCCTGCACTTGGCTTCCTCGGACCTGATGCTTTCTGGTTGCCGCTCTTCCAGTAGGCAGCTCAGTCACTCGGACCATATGCCACACCCTTGCTTGACGTACCAGCGTTAACAGTGAGTGTGTGCTGCCACCGAGAATTATGTGGAATTGGCTCATTTCCACGACCCTCTGGATTTCTTTGCTTGCT